TTCAGAAAATTTCTGAAGAAGGGTCTAGGCCCGAAACGTCAGCTTTCCTGCTCCTCTGATGCTGCTTGGCCTGCTGTGTTCATCCAGCTCTGCACCTTGTTATCTCTTGTAGCCACAGTGTTCATTTGCCAGTCCGGTGGAGTTTCTGGTCAATGGTGACCCTCAGGATGTTGATGATGGGGGAATTCAGTGATGGTAACACCATTAAATGTCAAGGGGAGGTGGTTAGATAATGGAAATGATCATTGCCTGGCATTTGTGCAGCGTGCATGTTACTTGCCACTTGTCAACCCAAGCCTGGATATTGTCCAGATCTTGCTGAATTTGAACAAGGACTGCTTCAGTATCTGATGAGTCACAAATGGTGCTGAACATTGTGCAATCATCCATAAATGTCCTCAGTTCTGACCTTATGATGGAGAGAAAGTCAGGGTTCAACTTTATATTTAAAATACATAAACAATTTTTAAAAGAAGTAATTTACATTGTATTTACATTTTGTCAATTAGCAAAGAACTAGCTCTTTCTGTTTGTGTTAAGAGATATAGCAGCAATCTCAGGAAATGTTGCAGTGAAAGAGGCCATCATCCAGTCCATTGAATCTGCAACACCACCAAAAAGTAATCATCTCACCAGTGCCATTCTCCCTCAACCCTCAACGTAACACTGCACATTTTTTTCTTTTTGTAAAACAGTCTAATTTCTTTCTCAAAGCCCTGATTGAACCTGCCTCCACCACACTCTCAGACAATGTATTCCGGACCTTAATCACCACCATGTGAAAAACTGATCCTTTCACTGGTGGGAACAGTTTCTCTCTGTCTATTCTGTCCAGACCCCTCACATTTCTCTGCATTGAACCTGTCCACCCATTCCACCAACTTGCCTATGTCCTTATAGTTTACAATACTTTCAATCCTGAATTGTCCACAACTTTGAAACTGTGCTCTATGCACCAGGGTCTAGGTCATCAACGTGTATCAGGAAGAGAAAGGGTCCCAACTCCTGGGGAACTTCACTATAAACCTTCGCCAGCCTGAAAAACATCCATTAAGTACTACTCACTGTTTCCTGTCACTCAGCCAATTTTGTAATCATGTTGCTCCTGTCCCTTTTATTCCATGAAGTCTAACTTTGCTCACGTGTCTGTTGTTGTGGCAAACAGGTTTTGGAAGTTCTTGTACCAACAGAGTTACCCTCATCAACCCTCTCTGTCCCATCTCTAAAACCTAGTTGATTATGATTTCACCTGAATAAATCTATGCTGGCTTTTCTTCAATTAACTTACATCTGCCCAAGTGACCATTGATTTTGTCCTGAATTACTGTGTCTAGAAGACTCCCCATGACTGAACTGATTGGCCTTAACCTATTGGTGCTGGGCTTCACACCTTTTTTTGAATGAGGGCACAACATTTGGCACCGTCTGAGGTCTAAGAAAATTCTGGCCAGTGCATCCAGAATTTCCACTTTCACCTTCCCCAGTATCCTTGGATACTTCTCTTTCGGTCCCTGATACTTTATCAACTTGAAGTACAAATCACTTATCTACTTCCTCCCCCGCTTCCATTTTAATTCATTCCAGTCTGCTCCTTCTCTTTCACCATGGCAACATCTCTACAAGTGGAATATCATCAAATAATGAAACTACAGATAGGATTCCAGCAGTCAGTAGTTATACACTGCTTGTGTTGAAAAGAAATCCAGTTACTAATCTTGCTGTGATCAGTATACAACATTTTCTCCCTGTGGGAAATGAAGCAGTTAACTAGTGAAAACCTTTGAATTAAGCTGAATTCTTTGCAGGTAACTAATGAAAATATATTAATTTTAAGTGGGGAACAAGTAATATCTTCACAAAGTTAACCATATTGTAACTAAAACAAGAAATCTCAAAACTTTTGAAGTCATTCCCAATGCAAGGATACAACAAAGTGCTTTTGCCAAAGATCCTGCCAGCAAAGTTTCTGTGAGTTGGGCTCTCACTTCAGCTGCAAAACAGAAAAAAAACGTCACACAAGTACACCTCATTGTGCCCCGAAACCTGGGGCAGAACAACGTCTCCTCTCATTTTAAAGTTGTAATACAATGGCGGTCAATGGGCAGCTAGACACTTACTCTTTGCCATTAGATCTTTGATCTCCTCAGTGATTATGTCATTTCCAATGGCCAGGAGTTCATATTTACCATCTTTACTCCCACAGCTGTTTGATTCTGCGGAACTCACGTCACCACTTTCCACAAAGCTTCCCATTTTCCAGTGTTTCCCTGGATATAGGAAGCGGCTGCAAGAACAAAATAAAATATTGGAATATACGTCGTATTGGGGTCCTGGTGAAACCAGACACGGCTATACAAACATAGATCTCTCCTGAACTGCTGGATGTAAGAGATCTTGCAGTGATCCTTACCTCTCCTGACTGTGACTTGCTATGATCGCCAGTCTGTTTTTGCGGCTCATGGCTAAATGGGAGTTTCCCATTACCATCACTGCATCCATACATTTCGACAGGGTGAACTGTAAAACATGTCAATTCTGCAGAGCATGTTATCAATTGCTCAGGGATCCAGTCTCTCCCCACCCCTAACAAGTTAATTAAAATTTCAATAAATACAAAATACTGCAAATACTGGAAATCTGAAATAACAACAGAAATTCTGGAGAAATTCAGCACGTCTGGCAGCATCTGCGGAGAAAGAAATACAGCTAAAATTTCGAGTCCGCTTCTAAAGAAGTTCTCAAGATGCTGCCGGACGTGCTGAGTCACCCTTGCATTTTTGTTTTTATTTTATACTTCGAATTCCAGTTGGTTGGCCTCTGAAAATATACACAAGGGCTGGCATAAACTACAAAACCAAATAACACATCAACAATTTGAGGAGATTTTGGTTCTTTGGGGAAACACTAATAGATTTTAGTATCAATTTTCACCTGGGTGTCATCTCCTCCAGTTTCAAACACCCTGCAAACTTTTTTCCACACACAAACTTCAACATCGATTTGAGGCAGACTGTGCCATTTAGAATGATACTGCAGGTTAAAGGATTGGATGATGGAGGGTAGGTTGCTCAGACCTGCCTCTTTGCCTTAATTCCCATGTGTTATTACATTTTTGACCAGTCTGCCAACATGGACCTGATCAAAAGCCTGGCTAAAGTCAATGTAGACCACAAATGCGTTGTGTTCATAATACTCTTGGATACCTCCTCAAAAAAAAATCAAATTTATCAAACATGACTTTCCCTTAACAGATCCATGCTGGCTATTTCTGATTAAACCGTGCCTCTCCAAGTGCAGATATACTCTATTCCTCAATTTTTTTTACTACTTTCCCCACCAGCGAGGATAAATGCAGGTTGAGGTCTGTAATTTCCTGATCTATCCCTTCCACCCATTTTTAATAATGAGACAATGTTAGCATTCCTCCAGTCCTCCGGCACCTCACCTATGGCCACAGAAAATTTGAAAATTACTACCAGGACCCCTAATGTTTCCTCTCTTGCCTCCATGAACAGGCTAGGATATATCTCATCTGGGCCCAGAGATTTATCCACTTTTAAGGACGCTAAATCCGCAGGTATTTCCTCTCTTTCTACGTTATATTTTTCTATTTCGCAGTCCACAGTCTTGGTGTCTATACCTGTGCTGTCTTTTTCCACTGTGAAGACTGTCACAAAGTATTCATGTAAGACAGTGCCCACATCTTCTGGGTCCATGGACAAATTAACTCTTATAGTCCCTAATGGACCCTACTCTTTTCCTAGTTATTCTCCTGCTCGTTATTTTAAAAAAAACCCTTTGGGTTTCCTTTATTCTATTCATTAATGCTTTCTCATGCACTCTCTTTACTTTCCTCATTTCCTTTTTAAGCTCCTCCTGCACTTTTTACACTCCTCTTGGGACTCTGTCGTATTGGTATGTGTCATAATTTTCTCTTTACTTCTTAATCCTAACCTTTATGTCCTTTGACATCTGGGGTTCTTCAATCTTGATCTCGCCCTCTGTCTTTATGACAGCACATTGTCCCTTACCCTCAGTATTTCCCTCTTGAATGTTTCCCACTACTTTGGTGCAGTTTTGTCCGCGTCTAGCTGCTCCCAGTCCACCTGAGCCAAATCATATCCTTGCAAAATTAGCCTTTTCCCAGTTTAAAGCTTTTGTACCCAGTCTATCCTTGTCCTTTTCCATAACTATCCTACATCTAACTGAGGAGCAGGAAAGCTGACGTTTCGGGTCGGGACCCTTCTCCAGAAACATTTTTTTTTTGCTGAAGAAGGGTCCCGACCCGAAACGTTAGCTTTCCTGCTCCTCTGATGCTGCCTGGCCTGCTGTATTCCTCCAGTTCCAAACTGTGTTATCTCAGACTCCAGCATCGGCAGTTCTTACTATTTCTAAATCTAACCGAGTTAGACTACAGACTCCAAAATGTTCCCTTACTAATATGCGTTCCATTTGCTTGGGCTCATTTCTGAAATTAAGTCCAGTACTGTCCACTCCCTTGTTCAGCTTTCTATGTACTTGCTAAAAAAGTTCTCTTGGATACTATTTAAGAATGTTGCTCTCTCGTGATGTAAAATTATTACAGTGAAACTGTCCCAGTTAATGTTGGGGAGTTAAAATCCCCTACTTTTACTGCCTTATTCTGCTTACATTTCTCTGAAATTTGATTGCATATTTAAACCTCCGTCACTCTGTACAATATGGCCTCATTTGATGATCACAACAAGAAATGTTGAGCTGCCAATGCGGTTCATCTTTCAGCCAAGTCTCTGTTTAAAGAGATGATAACATATCCCAACCTGCCTATTTGTGATTTCAGTTCTCTGCCTTATTCCTCAGGCCCCTTGCATTAGAATCTATTCCATTTAGCTTTGCTTCTTCCTGATGTTGCGTAGTTTCCTCTGCCTCCCAGACTCAAATTACTTGTGTTTTAACTTCTTTTTAACTCCTCAGCCTCTCTCCCCTCTGAACTACCTGCCAGGATCCCATTCCCCTGCCAATCTGATTTAAATTCACCTCAATAGGGTTAGCAAACCCTCCTGAGAGGATGTCGGTCCCATTGCTATTCAGGTGTAAACCATCTGACTTGTACACTTCCCCCAGTAACGCTCCCACTTCCTCAGGAATCTAAAGCCTTCTCTCCTGCACCATCTCTCCAGTCACACATTCATCTGTTCTAAACATCTATTCCTCTACTCATACTGCGTGGCACCAGGAGTACTCTAGAGATTAGTATTTGAAGTCTTGCTTTCCAATTTTCTACCTTTTTTCTAAATACAGTAATGGTGAGAACTGGGGCCTCCTTAAAACTGTGTTCACTCAGCATTCCATATCTGGCACCTCCTGAATAGTACGAAACCTAATCTAACTGTGTCACATTAGTAACTAGCCTTCCGCAAATGTAAACAAACGTCTATATGAAAACAGAGGACACATCAAAATAATCAAGGTCTTGATAGACTCCAAGAGTTATCAAGCCCATCTTACTTTGTTATCAATGTGGTATATCTAAAATAAGGTGACTTTGGTCTCATAAGGAATGAAAACTAATATTTAAATTGAGGTGGATAAGTGGACATGAGTAGCTGTCCCATGGCCTTTGGCCAAAAGAGATTAGACATAGCATTGATGACCAGTGCCCACAATAAGGAATATTGACAGGGACAGGAGGGGAGAAAGTGTCAAAAAGATCCAGGGTCACAAGCCACCACATCTCCTTGGGGGAAATTTCCCAGCATCAGCCAGACTGTTGGTACCGAGACCTCCAGAAATGAGTTGCCTCTACTCCTCCAGTGTAAAGAACGGTTCTGGGATCAGTAAAGCATTCCTTTCTGTTACAGCTTGTATATTTCTCTTTCTTTGACTAACTAACTAATGTACCATATGTAAATGCTGCTTCTAAACTATCATAAAATTACTACAAATCATTGATGCCTTGACTTGGGTAACTGTGATCACAAAACCCTTAAAAACAAGAATGAGGGAAAGCTTTAGGAACCAGTGTCCAAAGTCACCATTCGTTCAATAAAAACTTCATTCACTACACATCACCACTCAAATTACTCACATCATTTTGACATGTTACTTTCTGAAGGAAATCTATTAATTTGCATTTGAATGAAACAACATTATTTGTTTCAATGCGTTCTCCTTACCTGGGACTCCTTCAGGATCTGCTGACCCCACCAAATAGGATTGACATCCACCACTATAACGAGCAGACTAATGTCCCCATCTTCAGGACAACAAACAAGGAAAACATTAGCATGTGTCTGAGACAACAA